ATACATTGCAATGTATGTATCTATTATTTATTTATTTATACATACATACATACATACATACATACCTCCCATTTATATCTGGTTGATTTCATACTTTGCACTAAAACTGGGCTTTTTTGACCCTGATTTCTAGATTAGCCCCATCAAGTTGAGCTACGCATTCTGGTTTAAAGGCCAGAATAACTGGTTCACACAGTACATGAAGCCATAAAGCATCCTTTATAAACTACAGTGACTGGCTCCAAGGACTGTGCTGTCTACCGTGCATTTAGCTCAGTGTGTTGTGTGAATGTAGCTTCTGTGTATAATAGAGGAGAAGCCTGAATTTCTCAGAAGGACAAGTTCTGTCCTCTTCAGCCAGCTTCTCCTTGATAAACTAGTTTTTTCTTCGGGCAGATATGATAAAAGCAATCACGCAGCTGTGGTTTTGAGACAGTGTGTTCTGTATTAGTCCAGCACTGTTACTTTTAATTCCTGGTATCTTATGAATGACCTTCATGGGATCAAAGAAGAGAGGAGAGGGTGAACTCTGCATTTGGTACATATATGGGGTAGATGCCTGGAATAACAAGAGGTTGGCTTTTATCAGGAAGTTCAGTGTGGATCTGCTTTCAGGTAGTCAGTCTTCAAGGGGTTGAAATCTCTGCTGGTTGGATCCAAGAGTGTCAGTGCAAGACTGGAAATTACAAAACAGTGTGAGGCCATAATGTAGAGAAATCAAAGACCATCACATAGTTGGTTGAGTGTTCTGAAAAAGCTGATTCCTGGTGGGTTATTGACTACATTCTTCATAACCAACCATGATCTTAAACCCAATCCAAAAGAAATATCCCAAATCTGCCCCAAACAAATTACCAGAAGTATTATGATCCCATCAAAACTTTCCTCAAAGCAAGTCAAATAAATTCCCTCTAATCTTTCTGAGAAGTATGGAGAAACAGCAGTCACTCAGCAATGCCTCTGAAATTTGAGGCATCCAGTGTTGAGGAATCAGGGGCTGCCCAATGAACCCTTAAATCCTCCTATCGAATGTTTCTCTTTTTTTCTCCCTTCCCCCCATGCCCCATAGGCATCTATTTCCCCTCCCCTCTAGGTTTTCAAGGTCCACATTCTGGAAACAGGTGCAAAATAGTGGCTTGAGAGAGGTTACAGCAGTGTTTTTCAACCTCAGCAACTTTAAGATGGGCATGCTGGCTGGGGAATTCTGGGAGTTGAAGTCCACCCATCTAAAGTTGCTGAGGTTAAAAAACACTGGGTTATAGGATGCCTCAGAATACAGGGCTCAGACTGGGTGAAGAAATGTCTAGCAGGCTATGGAAACCCCAAAGAGGCAGCGGGGCAGTTAAGGGAGGAAACAGGGCTGTTACAGAACAGATACCTAAGTTCAGGGAAGGGGAAAAGTATGAAAAAGAGGCACAAAGTGAACTCTTCCTTAAATGCGCTAGGTATAAGTTGATCTGGAGAATTGCTTTGGCAGGCTTTCAAGATTCTGTTACGTTCCCTTACTACTGATAAAGATCTTTCCCAGAAATCCAAGGGGTTCTTATTTCCTGAATTTGCCAGCCTCACAGCACTTGACAAGCACATAAGTGCAATTTTTAATATTGGAACTGAACTTAAGGATTTTTTCC